AAAAAAAAGATTAGCCAGGACTCTTTTGGTTGCAATTGAAAGACATCTGCTCAAAGTAGTTTTAGGGATGGAAAGGGGAATTGATTTGTTCACAAAACTGAAGAACTCAGAAGTAAACCTAGCTCCAGGCATGTGGAAGTAGGGGGCTTACAGCTGTCTTTAGAACTTCTTGATGTCTCCCTACATCACTCAGCTCTACTTTCCTCTGAAATAGCCCAGGTCTCAGGCAGGTGTTGTCCACGTGGGGGCCCTGGAAGTTCCAGCCGTAGATTCTCCCTCTGACTGAGAGCCCAGAATCCTCTCTGGCTTGGCATGGGTTACCTGCCCTGGGGCAAGGCAATGTGGTGATCTCATTACTCTGGCCTGGGCCATAAGAACAGCCCCCAACCACCCACAGTGAGAGTGGAAGAAGGGAAAGATAAGATTAATTATAAAATTGAGCTAAACCAATTTGTGTAAATTGATAGAACAGGGTAGCTGATACTAGAAGTATAGCACTCTGACCCCTAGTGGTTAGATTACACTGAGAAAATTCATCATTAGCCCAAAGACAATAGCAGGTTAATTTATTTCACATCATGTTTTTAACATGAGGTGTCTCAGATGATAAAGAATCCGCCTGCAATGCAGGAGACCTGGGTTCAATCCCTGGGTTGGGAAGATTCCCTGGAGAAGGGAACGGCTGCCCACTCCAGTATTCTGGCCTGGAGAATTCCCTGGATAGAGGATCCTGGCAGGCTACAGTCATTGTGGTCGCAGAGTCAGACACAACTGAGCAACTTTCACTCACTCACTTTTTCAATTTATTTAAGGACACCAGTGTCCTTTTATTCCTCTCCATTGAAACATTCACCCATCTGGAACGAATGTTCTTTTGACTATTCTTGTTTCCTTTCTTAATTCTCTGTTTCTGCTATCATCATCTTCTTGGTTTCATATTTAGACTATAGTGATAATATCCTTATTTTTTATCCTTTATGAAAACAAACACCTGAAACTCTTACTAAAAAACTGCTTTACTTGTATGGCATTCAGCTGGGAAGTTTACCTAACAATTTATCAAACCCAATCAAAATCCCTGGGTCTAGAATTAATTTTCATGTGTCCCCTCATTCTTCTGTAGTTGAGAAATCATAGTTAGCTTTCTACTAACTAACTATGGTGGGAAGGTAGCATATGTAACAATACATTTGCATAATACATGTTGACCTTCTGAACCTTAAAAATTGAGAACATATATATAAATAGATTAATTCATTTTAAATTTCATTCTACTAAACTTATCTAATATTCTACACAGAAAATTTCATATATATTATCATTTTTCAAGAGTGAATTAAATGCATGATTTATCATAAAGAGATACTGATTGGAGCAAATTTATAAGTATGCCAGCTAATTGCTCAAATCATAAACTAAATGTTAAATATGGCTCCTAAATTTTTATAACTTTCATATTTTATTCTTTCTTTCTTTGTTAAGTGGCTGCGATAGTAAGAATTCTCTAACTTCATTATTGCCCACATTTTCTCTTCAATGTTCACTGTGAAGAATAAAATTAAAAGATTGAGTTAATCACTCTGAAGGTTTATAATTTTACTCCATATTTCCCTTTTCATTCTTTTCCTTTTTTCTCCAGTGATTTTCTTTATTTGAAATTTTGCATTTTAAATGAAAGTATACAGTTTCTTTCTTCTGAGTTATTTATATAGAGTTGAAACAAGCACAAAAACCTAAAGTCAGACTGCCTAACCTTCAGTTTTCTCTGTAAAAAGGGGATAATGAGACCAATACTAGTACTCCTAATTTATAGGATTACTTATAGAGTCATTGTAATGAATACATTTGATAATTCACATAAAGGACTTAGGGTGGTTACTGGCACGTGTAAATTCTCAAAATATGTTAGCTTTTACAATTATTTTATAGGCTCAGTTGCATGTTTAAATGTATCTTTTTATACACCAACTGGTTTGTCTACCACCAATCACTTATAAAGCATTAAAAATATAATATTTTAATATTATATTGTTGGCTGGAAAAACAATAACAATATGGAGTGTCTATTCTTAGCAAGTTTAAAAGCTAATTTAAGAAACAAAGCATGAATATTTAAATTTATAAACAAAATGTGCTATATACATAAATGGAATATTATTTACCCTTAAAATGAAAGGACATTCTGACATGCTGCCACATGGATGAACCTTGAAGACATTATACTAAGTGAAATAAGCCAGTTACAAAAGGACAAATATTGCATGGTTCCACTTATATGAGGAAACTATAATAGTCAGATTCATACAAACAAATTCTACAGGATGGTTGCCATCAGGGTTTGGGAAAAATGGGGATTAGGGGGTTATTGTTTAATAGGTAGAGAGTCTCAGTATGGGAAGATGAAACAGTTCTGGAGATAAATGATTGTCTAAAAATGTGAAGGTACTGAATGCTACTTACTCAGCTGTATAGTTAAAAATGGTTAAAATGGTAAATTTTATGTTATGTACCTCTTAACAAAATAAAAAGATTTGAAATTTAAATGTTCATAAGAAAAAAATACAGTGTAAGCAGATAAATCAGTAAATAATAAATTATCAAATGTCATTTTAATTTTATTTATAAAATGCATCCATTTACTTTTTGAATAAATAATACATCTGCATGGTCCAAAAATGAAAGGTTCAAAATGACATACAGGGAAAAGCAAATCTTCCTTTAGCCACTCAGTATCTTTTCCTAGAGACATGATTATATTACCAATTATTTACACATCCTACCAGAGATTTTATACATGTATAAAACTGTAGTTATAGCTATAGTCACACACTCTTTTTCCACTTAAGAATAGTGCATAAAGAAATTATCATTCAATTAAAAATAAATTTAAAAAAATAGATAGTGCATTAAAAATAACCTTGTTCTTTTTCAAGAACTGTATAGATACCATAAAGATATTTAACCTATTCCCTACTGAGAAGCCAGAGAGTTTTCAGTCTTTTGCTTTTGAAAGCAATCTTTCAAAGACTAATCTGGCACATATGTCATTTTGTGTAACCGTGAGCATTTCCATAAGTGAAATTCCTAGAAGCAGTGTCACTGGCTTTTCAAATTATTCAGATTGAGTGCCTTAAAGAGACAGATTTCACCAAAGAAGTGCTAGTGTCAGCTGCTTTATTCCCAAACTTGGAAACATCCTTGTATCCTCTCTTTTACACCTATCAATCTCTAAGTCTTGCTCATTTTACCTTCTCAATATCTCTTCTGTCTTCTCATTTCATTTTCCCATTGCTCACAGCCAGCAATTTCATTTAGGCTTTTCGCTGTTTGTTCATGTTTGAAATGTCTTCAAACCCAGCCTCCTGCTCAGGTACTTTCATGCTACCCAATACAACCAGGATTAAGTTTAATGTCTTAATTTTAGCCAACAAAGCTCACCTTAATCCGTTTCAGCCTTTTCTGCTCTCACCCAACTTTACTCTTTTTGCTTTTATAATATATAACAGTTTATAGTTTTAGGCCCCCATGTATTTGCCCTCACTGTCTTCCGAGTCTGGAATACCCTCACGGCACCCCAGGCAGAAGTACTGATTTCCTCACGTAAGAGAAGGAACCTCCCTGCTGTGCCTACAGGCCCCTTGCATCCATCTTCCATAGGGACTGCTCTTCTCTACTGAAGCTATATCCTTGAAGTAGCCTCAAAGAGTGGTAGGGAGTTGTCTTTTTTCCTTTCTAATCCTAGCATCCAGCATCATCTTGCTTGAGGTCACATGGCATGCACTCCATACACTTTCTTTGATTGAACTTAAATCAGATCTTGTAGAGAAGGGGTGCACTCATTTCTTCACCTCACATATGTTTATTGGGAGGTTATTAAGTGCAAGATTATGTATTAGGCAGTGAGATTACCACCAAGAAGAAGAAGAACCAGGGCCTACTTTTGGTCTACAGAAAGAGGTGGGGCAACGTAACACACAATTCTAATTCATTTGGGTAAAGACTGCCATGGACCTTACGTCACAATTTAGAATTTTTTTATAGATAAGGATGAACAAAGTGTGGCATTTTAACTGGAGGGAGTTGCACTAGGAAATGTATTTACAAAACAAGGCAATAACCCCAAATCAGTGTGAAACCCAGAGTCAGGCATAATTCTGAATTCCTGTTTGTGGCCTACTGTCTTCTATAGTGGAGATGCTTTTCTGGTAAACAAGGTCAAATACGATCGATGTCTAGGGTAAAGAATAAGGTGAGATAACTCATGTAAAAGGTAACCAGGTCAGAATCTGTACATACCCCTTATTAAAATTCTCTTTTTACTCTAAACTTCTACTCCTAAACTATCTTCTGACCGTTAAAAAGCAAAAACAAAAACCAACAAAAACCCTTGCTTGGTGTTAAATGATCTATATTAAGTTTAATGCCGCTGTTCTTTCTTTACCCTTTTCCATGTTCGTTAACACGACCTCTTTTCACAAAAGGCTGAGGAAGCTGGGGATATGTAATGAAAAGAACAGGTTCTTTGGGACTGCGGCAGAATTGGATTGGGTATGGAGGACAGTCACGACTAGCACAGTTATTTTGGACAAGTAATTAAACTCCTAGCTTCCTCTTCTGTAAAATAACAATAAATAAATGGGGAGGTAATGTTTATATAAAGCGTTGAACACTGTCCCACAGTAGTAAGAGCTTGGGCACGTATGCGTGCCCAGTGGCTCAGTCGCGTCCCCCTCTGCAACCCCATAGACTGTATGTAGCCCGCCAGGCTTCTCTGTCCATGGAATTCCCCAGGCAAGAATGTTGGAGTGGGCTGCCGTTTCCTTCTGCAGAGAAGAGCTCGGGGAGGTTAGCTATCAAACGATTCTGAAGAACTCTATGTCTTGAAGGTCGTCTTCTCCCTGCTGCCGTCAAAGGAATTGTTAAGTGTAATCGGTTAAACCTGAACGCGCAAGCTCGGCGCCGATGTAATTTGACCTCTCCGGGCCGCCGTCTGCGAGCATGCGTATATAAACGTGGCGGCACGTACGTGTCATGGCGAGCTCCAGCTGAAGTCTCTGCAGTTTCCGGAGAGTGGCGTGTAGGTTCTGTTACTTTTGGTTGGCTTGTTATTTCCCGACTGCTGGGTAAGGGTGGCGGGTGGATCAGTGTGGGGCAGAGTTTGGCCAGAGCTCCTTTTACGGCAGAGCCTTGTTCCCCCAGTTTCAGTCCTTCTCGTGGCCGGTCGCTGGTTTGTTTCGAAATTGAGAGGAAACTTACCAGCTGGGTAGGGAGCATTGGGAAGCAGATAGCGTTGCCTGAAGTGAGGACCGGGACGGTGGCCTTAGGTGCTGCAGGACTGTTAGGAGTACTTAAGAGATCTCGCTGCTTACTGTCAAATTTAATTTCCTCCGTTCTCCCACTTTCTGCGTTAGTGAGTTCGTGGGACGGGATAAGGCTTTTACAGTTACCATGCTCTCACAAGGCTGCATCTCAATAAAAATTTAAATTGAAGTTAGTTTGAAGAGCAGGTGTCTTGATTTTTCAGTTTTCTTTCGTGCTTGCTGGTGAAACCTGTCTCTGAATCTCGGGACGACACGTGTCTTTCGGGTGTCGGGTGATATGGACACCTATTTCTTTGATCTGTTTTGTAGTGTTCTTACTACTGGATCACGCAGACGTAGTCTAGTGCCGGATAGTATTTATAACTAAGACCGTATGCTGGATCTCAGTCATAGCAAATGTGGCAGATGTCAACATACCTGTCCTAATCAGTAAGAAATTGGGAGTAATACGGAACACCGTTAACCTTGCTGTATGAAACAGCCTTCTATAGAATTTAATCCCTTTTAGGTAGTTTTAGAGGCCTTACTGTGGTTTTGTAAACTTGTTGCGAACTTTCTTTTCTAAACAGTTTTTATTTTCCAGACTCATCTTTCAAGACGATTTGAGGCTAATTGCAAATAATCAAGGTACTCGTTTATTTTAAAACTTTTATGTTGGGAGTGATATTTACCCAATGTAATATGCAAAGAGGTAGCCTAATTTTAATTTCTTAGGGATTTTTTTCGCCGTCATTATATGGAAATGCCAAGATCTCCATATCACTAAATCCAAGAAACATTTTCACTCATTTTACTCAAGCTTTCATCACTTGCATCACAAGCAGCACTGATCATGTCCACCTGTTTGACATACTGTCTTCATTTTCCTTCTGTGACCCACTGATTTTTGTCCTTTGGTGACTGCTTCTTGGTCTCCATTATAGGAGGTTTCTCTTCTGTTTGGTAGGTAAATTTGAAGTTCCTTAAGGCTTGGTCCATCACCTTTTCCAATTAGAAGAAATTCTATTCTTTTTCTCTCCAGTTGATCTAATCTACTTCTTCAGCAACACTATTCTTTTTTATTTTAGCCATCCTAGTGTGTGAGAAGTGTCTTGTGGTTTTGATTTGTATTTCTTTGATAGCTAATGATGTTGACATCTCATGTTACTGGTCCTTTGTATATCTTCTTTGGAGAAGATACATATTTGCAAATATGTATCTTCTTGATGGTGTTCTTTGAAGCATGAACGTTTTAAGTCCAGTCTTTTTTCCTTTGTTGCTTTTCTTTCCGTGTCATAAGAAAGCTGTCATAAAAATGTATACCTATGATTTCTTGTAAGGGTTTTATAGTATTTCTTAAATTTAGGTCTGTAATCAATTTAATTTTTGTTTATGATGTGAAGTTGGAATCCAGCTTTATTCTTTGCATGTAGCCATCAACTATTTCCAACACCATTTTTTGAAAGCATACTCTTCCTCATTGAATATTCTTGGTACCCTTTTAGAAAATCAGCTGACTAGGTGATGTGTTTTTGACAGGCATTCTAGATGATTTTTATGAAAAAACAAACAACTCCAGGACAGTTACTTTCAAACTGTAAGTGCGTGTCAAAACCACCTGAAGGGTTTGTTAAAGACTGCTGAGCTTTACTCCAGGCATCTGATTGAGTTGGTTTGGAGGGGGACCAAGACTTCATTTCTAGGAAGTTCTCTAGTGACACTTACTTGTGCTGGTGTGGGAACCATACTATAAAAACTACGGGTATAGGACTTTGGTTCCCAACTGTGGCAGCACATGAGACTTACTGGAAAGTTTTAAAAAATATTGATGGCTAGGCTGAGTTCTAGAGATTGATACAACTAGAGCAAGGCTCTAGTTGATAATTTTGTTGTTGATGATTTTCTGTAGCTCCTCAGGTGACTATAATGAACATCAGCTGAGAACCTTTGTAGAACAGGGGTTCTTAGTGGGATGTATAGTGGAATCACCTGGACAGGTTTTTCATACCCACCCATAAATTCCACTCTGGAGATTCTAATTCAAAATGGGGCCTCGGTATTTGCTTTTATAATACCTCTCCTAATAAATCACCTCTGTAAATAGCCAGTACTCTGTACTCAATCTATTCTTCATCATTTTCCATGTCTCCTTTTTCACTTTGTTTTTTATTTCCTTTATCAAGTTTGATTTTCTCTACCTTTAAGAGAGAACTTTATATGATTCATTCTGTAGCACTTAACTACTATCTTACTTTCCTTCTACTCTCACACTTTCATTATTCACTTATTTAATATTTTCTGAAGGCTAACAATTTGCTTTACCGGTTTGTTGGAAGTAAAAAGCTTGTTAATAGTGATAGGTGAGTTTATTCAGGTGTTTATGATATGCGGCCAGGTTTAGGAACCTCTGTGTTTTTTATCTGTCTCTTTGGTCTCCCTAGAGTGAATTTCTAGAAATGTAATTGCTGGGCTAAAGGATATATATGTGTTAAAGTTTGATATGTATTGCTAGATTGCCCTTCAGAAAGGGTATGGCAGTCCTACCATGCTCTTAGCTAACGGTTGGGTTTTTGTTAGTCTTTGTCATCAGTGGGGTAGATGGAAAATAATTTCTTGTTTAAGCTCATGCCCTTAGTGTGTTTGAGCATTCTTTCCTATGCTTAATGGCTATTTGACTTGCTTAAGTGTGTTGCCAGTTTTTCCTTTGCCCGTTTTTTTCTGGAATGTTTTTCTTCCTCAGGGTCATCTCAGACTCTTGCATTGTTTGTGCTTTGCCAACAAAATGGAGTCATCTGGGGAGATCTTGGTGTTGAGAGAGGGTCCAGTTCTAGCTCTGTCAGTGGACAGATCTTCTAACTCCCCTGGACTTCTCCCATCTAGTCTAAGAATTTCCTTCTGTGTTATAGAAAGACTAGCTAAATTCAGCTTAAACAAGGATTTATTCATCCTTTCATTCAGCAAATATTCTGCACTTGCTGTGTGCTAGGCATTGTTCCAAATGTAGGTAGTTATAGTGGTGAAAAAGACAGGGTACCTCTGTTCTGAAGCTTACACTCTAGTGAAAAGACACAAGCAGTTATATACATGGAGTCAGGTAAGTGTGATGAAGGGAAGTGAAGCATAAAGTGGAGTTAGAGGCTGGTGAGAGTGTGTGGGATGCCTGATCAGTGTGTGGTTATTTTAGATAAGGTCATTAGGAAGAGCCCTCTCCAAGGAGGTGTTATTTGAGTAAAGGAGTAGGCAGCAAGCCATCCAAATATCTGGGGATGATATTCCAGACAGAGGAAGAGCAAGTGTGAAGGCCCTGAGTCAGAAACTAGCTTGGTCTGCTTGGAGAATGTCGGAAAGGTTATTACAGTTGGGGCAGAGTGGAAGGTGGCAGAGGGACCATATTTTGTAGACTGGGTTGTGGACACAAAAAAATTTTTTTTTTGAGAAGTTGCAGTACGCTAGGTAGTTGTAGGCACCACCTGGGATAAAGCAGTGAACAAAACACTCAAAAACCTCCCCACCCCCAGAGTATATATCCTAGTAGAAAGAGAGTAATAAGATGATGAAGATACTGTAATGGAGGAGGAAATTTTCCTCTATAGTTCTCAGTTCTTCTGGTTGGTCTAAGAATTAAATTGACAGATTAACAGGGGAAAATCAAACAAAAGTTTAGTAGCATGTGGCATGTATACATGAACTTCCCTAGTGACTCAGGGGGGTAAAGGATCTGCCTGTAATATGGGAGACCTGGGTTTGATCCCTGGTTGGGAAGATTCCCTAGAGAAGAGAATGACCACTCATTCCAGTATTCTGGCTTGGAGGAGAATGAGTGGATACCTACTCCTCTCCTCCATGGACAGAGGAGCCTGGCAGGCTATAGTCCATGGGATTGCAAAGAGTGGGACATGACTGAGCAACTAACACTTTCACATACATGGGACAGAGCCAGGGAAACTGAGTAACTTGCCAAAATGGCTGAAACTTACCTTAAATATTATCTTCAGCTAAAGACAAAAGATCTTGGGGGTAGTGATTTGGGACCTCAAAGGGGAGGAAGGCAGTTGCCGTGAGATGGAAAAGCAAATGTTTGGTAATAGTTTTAACAGACAGACTTTGCCTGGTTCCTCCCCATCTGTGCACATAGTTCATACTATAGTTATCTATGGGGATCGCATCCCTTCCTGAAACATGTCTTTCTTTACATTCTTTTAGCAATTAGAAGGAGGGTCAAAGTTTCTTCCTGGCCTTGATTTGTCTTCAGCTCAAAATAATCCACATGGCAAGAGACATTTTCGGGTGGCAGGTTTGCTCCTGTTTAGTATCTAAGCATGTGGGGAAGTGCTATGGTAAGAAAGCAAGGCTGGGGGAAGGGGGGCAGGAGGTGTGTGTACGTGGTGAGGTGGGGGTTGTTCAGAAAGACCTCGCTGGTGACATTTGGACAGAGTTCCAAAGGGCTTGAAGGCATTCCAGGCATGACCAAGACCTTGAGATTAGTGTGTGCCTGGTGGGTGTGAGCTAGCCAGAAAGCCCATGTGTCTGAGTGGAGTTGAAACTGTGCACCTCAGACGGGACTTGAATCCACGGGCTGGGACCCAGACCCGGCCAGAACCCAGACTGGGACTTGAACCCACAGTCTTAACTGAGATCAAGCACCTGGTCTCAGGGCTTCCCCAGTGGCCCAAATGGTAAAGAATCTGTCTGCAATGCAGGAGATCGGGGTTTGACCCCTGGGTTGGGAAGATCCCCTGGAGAAGGAAATTGCAACCCACTCCAGTACTGTGGCCTGGAGAATTCCATGGACAGAGAGAGGAGCCTGGTGGGCTACAGTCCATGGAGTTGCAAAGAGTCGGACACGACCAAGCGACTAACTCGTAACACATACCTGGTCTCAGGACTCTTAAGAAGCTCATGTTGTTCTTATCAAAAGAATTCAGTGAGCGACATAGTAATAGGTAAGAAGTGGGTTTATTTAGAGAGAAACACACTCCACAGAATGTGGACCTTATCAGAAGGTAAGAGGCCCCAAAATATGGTGTGGTTAGTGTTTATGTCTGGGTAATTTCATAGGCTAATTTCATGGGCTTCCCTTGTAGCTCAGTTGGTAAAGAATCTGCCTGTAATGCAGGAGATCTGTATTTGATTCCTGAGTTGGGAAGATCCCTGGAGAAGGAAATGGCAACCCACTCCAGTATTCTTGCCTGGGAAACCCCATGCACAGAGGGACCTGGCAGGCTACAGTCCGTGGAGTCGCAAGAGTTGGACATGACGTAGCGACTCAACCACCAGCCTCTAATTTCATAGGCTAGCGAGCAAGAGGATTATTCCACTTATTCTGGGGAAGGGGTGGGGATTTCCAGGAGCTGGGCTGCTTTTCAGCCTTTGTTAGCTCTGAGCTGCCATGCCGGGAGTCCAGGGAGCCTGTGAGGCCCAGGGCCCACTGGGAGCTGAGTCTTCTGCCGCCTCAGACCTAGTTGGTTCTTAGCAGTGTGTCCTGTGGCTAAGTCGTTCTTTCCACGGCTGTGCCCTGCCGCCTTCCCTCCTGTTTTAGAGTGAGGCAGGAGAGTGGGAGTGGTGTCCTGTCACTTCCACTTTTCTGAGGCAGGAAGCTGATTATGTCCTTGTAGAATTCTTTTAAAATATAGTTTTATTTATTTTTGGCTGTGATGGGTCTTTGTTGCTCCATGGATTTTTTCTCTGGTTGCAGAGTGGGGCTTACTCTTTGTTGCAGTGCCGGGCTTCTCACTGCTGTGGCTTCTCTTGTTACAGAGAATGGGCTCTAGGGTGCACGGGCGTCAGTAGTTGCGGCTCCCCGGCTCTAGAACACAGTATCAGTATTTGTGGCACATGCACTTAGTTGCTCCATGGAATCTTGTGGGATCTTTTTGGACAAGAAGGGATCGAACCCGTGTCTCCTGTATTGGCAGGTGGATTCTGGATCTTTACCACTGAACCACCAGGAAAGCCCCTTGTCCTTGTAGAACTTAGTAACGGTTTTAACTCTGGGCTTTTTACTCTGAAATGGAATACCAATGGAAGGTTTTGATCAGAAACCTGAGAAGAACTTAGGTTTTAGAGGGATCCCTGGCTTATGTGCAGCAAGATTCCTCTGGGAATTGAGGGTAGAAGCAAGGTGACTATGACAGTAATCCAGGCAAGAGTTAATGTTGGGACCAAGAATGTAACAGTGGGTATGATCGGAAATGGTTAGATTCTGAATATATTTGGAAGCTCAGGCCAATGGGATTTTGCTAATGTATTGGACTTAGGGTGAAGGAAAGAGGAGTTGGGGATGATGCCAGGATTTTGGGCCTGAGAGGTTAGAAGGTTGGTATTGCCTTTCAGTGAGATGGAGAAAGTCATGGGAGGATCTGTGTGTTCCTCCTGGCTGCAGGTGGGGTGAGAATCAGGAGTTCTGTTTTTGATTTTAAGTTTGAAGTAACTCCTAGCCATTCAAGCAGGGTGTTGAGTAGGCGGTTGGATGGACATCTGAGTCTGAAGTTCAAGGGAGGCCTAGGACTGGTTATAGAAGCATATAGTTAGTATTTCAAGGCCACAAGGCTGTATGAGATCACCTAGGGTGCCCCTGTAACGGAGCCCTGGGGGTGTTCTGACCTTGAGAAGTTGGAGAGATGAGGAATGGGCCACGGAGACTTGGGGAGGGGCTAATGCAGTAGGAAGAGAACTCAGCGTGCGGGACCCCAAAAGCCAGGGAAGGAGATACCTTGAGGGAATGAAGGGTCAGTAATGTCAAGTGCCGCCGGTAGGATCACATGAGATGGCTGAGAGCTGACTGTTACGTACATCGCTGCGAGTCACTGAATCAGGTCGGCAATTTTGGGATGGGGGGGTGAAAGCCTGGCATATGAGAGACTGGGAGGGGGAAACGAGACAGTGCTTGCAAGGAGTTTTAAAGGATAGAAATGTGGTGGAGACAGTAGGTAGAGGAAGTGAGGCCACGATAAGGTTTTTGTTTTTTTAAATGGGAGAAATAACAGTACCCATATACAATTGGTGATTAGGTAGGGAGGAACATGACTAGAATTCTGTGCTCAAGCAGGTTAGAGGAGAGGGGTGGTTCTTAGAGGGTGGGTAGTTCCTAGTAACAGGTTGATATGTGGGCAAAGGACCATTTCCTATTAGAGAATGCCGTCTTCTGTCTGTGGAATGCAGGGGGGGATCTGAGGGTGGGCTTCACTCAGGCCTCCTGTTTTCAGTACCATCTACAGCCTCATGAACAGGCAGTCCCTGAGAAATTAATTTTCAGAAACTTTCTAAGATAAATGAGTTTGTTTCTTTACTGTAGTTCTTCCCAGTCTTGCTCTCATAGTATATACATACATGGATGCACACACATCCTGGGAGTCTGTGAGAGGCAGAATTTTCCAAATTTATTTGACCACAGAACTAGTTTTTCACTGATAGTTCATAGAACCAGTTTGGAAGAAACTTGGGTCATTTCACCTTCCCTAGTGTGCTGAGTCAGCCAGGGCTCTTGTTGGCAAGAGCAGAAAGCCCACCTCAAATGAATTTAAGCCTCGGGGAATTCCTGAGCTCACATGAATGGGCAGAGCAGGGCTATGTCTGGCTTCAGGCATTGGTTGGATCCAGCTGCTCAAGTATCTTATCCCTCCAGCTCTTATAAGACTTCCTGCCTTGGGTCTTCTTCTGCTTTGTGGCAGGCAGGATGGCCCCCCAGTAGCCTCAAGCTGACATCCTCCTAACTGAGCCACTTCAGTGAAAGAGAAGTTAGCACTGGCGTGGAACTCCTCGTGGTGATTGTGACTGACTGGGCGTGTTACGTCCAACCCTGAGCCGGCCTTGGGGCCCAAGGGGAAATAACCCGGCAAGGGGGGGGCAACGGCCCCAATGCCGCCCCCGGGGAAGGAAGAACCCCGGAATGACAGGTGGTATGCGTGCTGTGGTGTGTTACAGGTTTGTAGTGATATCTCATTGTGGTTTAGTTTGTATTTCTTTGATTGCTGATAACGTTAAATCTCTTTCCATGTGCTTTATGTCCCACTCAGTAAGATTTGTCTGATTTATCTGATGTTTCTTGTTTTTCAGTATCTCTTGTATTTTCTGTAAAGTTGAAGTAAAAATCTAAAGGCTTTATTAGATTCAAGTTTGGCAAGAATATTTCATAGGTGCTATGTTAAACAGATGTTCTGAGGACTCATGCCTGTATCATTTATAACTTGTTTATACGATAGAGAAGATGCCTTCTGCATCCTGTGATACATTCCTGGATGACATAGAAGATATTGTGTCACAAGAAGATTCAAAGCCAAAAGATAGGCATTTTTCGAGAAAGCACGTTGTTCCAAAGGTGCGAAGGCGAAATACCCAAAAATATTTGCAAGAGGAAAACAGTCCACCAAGTGATAGGTAAGCTTTTTTTGAAATTATATTCGGCATTGTACCATGGGAGAGGCTGACACTACTGTATGTGATATACATAATGTATCTTTTAAAAGAATCTTTGAAGTTTTTAAAGGAAATATGTAGGGTTTTTAAAAATTTGAATGGTTATATTTAGCAAAGTCATAAATTAAATGTGTCGAATTGCATATTGGCCTAGGGCAGTATTTGGCACAAAGATAGATCTCCCTGCCTCCCACCCTCCTCTGGCCAGATCTCTTTGGTATCACTGTGGTTGTTATGTTCTTGTTACTTCTGCATTAATATTTTTATTGGAATTTGTGATTCTTACGAGATAGCGGTGGTTTGAGCATGTGGTTTTTCTTAGCACATTTAAAGTACTTATGAATTAACTAAAGGCTTTGGACACAAATTCTTGTGCTGTTTGCACTGTTAGGTGTCTAGTGAAATTCTAATACAACCTAGCCAGAAAGGATTATGCAGTTATATAGTTTTAACATGCTTATATTTGTATATCTAGTAAACTTGAGCATTTTAATACATTTGGTTATTTGGAACAGAGTCATAGTCTATGAATTTAAATTTACTTATTTTAATGCCTGAAATTTATTAAATTTGTCTTGAATATATCATTAAATGTAATGTCTAGTTAGTTGTTAATTATTTATGGCAATCCAAGTTGAGAGTCCTTTTATTCCCTTTCTAAAAATTACATTTTTTAGAACTCTATATGTGGAATACTTTTATTATTAATAGTGCTGTAGGGTGATAGATTTTCATTTTGATTCAGTTATTTATATCTAAGTTATAAAGATTGTGGTTAGTATACAGTAGTCTTTAGATGTGTTTAGGTTTTCTTTATTTGCTGTTGCTGCTAGAACCATTTTCTGTGCCATTGTTGTTTGTACCTTTCCAAGAGTTGAACTTATTGGTAGTATTTAGTAGTATTGAACTTAAAATACAACTTATAGAAAAGATATTCTTCACATAGAAAGAGAGTCTTAGAATTTTATACTGTTATTTTATCTTGATTTTAGACTTTTGGTGTAACAGCAGATTATGTATTAAGTTGGTACTTTTAATGAATAATTTATGAATAGAATGCACTGTTTTTGCATAATATGCCTAGAAATTAACTAGTGCTTTTTATTTTTAAAAAATCCCTTAATGAGACTTATTTTTTAAAATTGATTAACAGCACTATTCCAGGCATACAGAAAATTTGGATACGAACTTGGGGTTGTTCTCATAATAATTCAGATGGAGAATACATGGCTGGACAACTGGCTGCTTATGGATATAAAATTACAGGTAATGAGATCTGTAATGTGTTTTATTGATTACATTTTTTAAAGCCAAGATTTTTAGAGATAGAAGTTCTAGCTTCAGCAACTAAAGAATATTTTAGCATGACTTAGTGATTTTTTTTTGTATTTATTTATTTTTATTAGTTGGAGGCCAATTACTTTACAATATTGTAGTGGGTTTTGTCATACATTGACATGAATCAGCCATGGATTTACATGTGTTCCCCATCCCGATCCCCCCTCCCGCCTCTCTCTCCATCCCATCCCTCTGGGTCTTCCCAGTGCACCAGCCCTGAGCACTTGTCTCATGCATCCAACCTGGGCTGGTGATCTGTTTCACCCTTGATAGTATACTTGGTTCAATGCTATTCTCTCAGAACATCCCACCCTCGCCTTCTCCCACAGAGTCCAAAAGTCTGTTCTGTACATCTGTGACTCTTTTTCTGTTTTGCATATAGGGTTATCGTTACCATCTTTTTAAATTCCATATATATGTGTTAGTATACTGTATTGGTCTTTATCTTTCTGGCTTACTTCACTCTATTTAATGGGCTCCATTTTCATCCATCTCATTAGAACTGATTCAAATGAATTCTTTTTAATATTCCATTGTGTATATGTACCACAGCTTTCTAATCCATTCGTCTGCTGATGGGCATCTAGGTTGCTTCCATGTCCTGGCAATTATAAACAGTGCTGTGATGAACATTGGGGTGCACGTGTCTCTTTCAGATCTGGTTTCCTCGGTATGTATGCCCAGGAGTGGGATTGCTGGGTCATATGGCAGTTCTATTTCCAGTCTTCTAAGGAACCTCCACACTGTTCTCCATAGTGGCTGTACTAGTTTGCCTTCCCACCAACAGTGTAAGAGGGTTCCCTTTTCTCCACACCCTCTCCAGCATTTATTGCTTGTAGACTTTTGGATAGCAGCCATCCTGACTGGCGTATAATGGTACCTCATTGTGGTTTTGATTTACATTTCTCTGATAATGAGTGATGTTGAGCATCTTTTCATGTGTTTGTTAGCCATCTGTATGTCTTCTTTGGAGAAATGTCTGTTTAGTTCTTTGGCCCATTTTTTGATTGGGTCATTTATTTTTCTGGAATTGAGCTGTAGGAGTTGCTAGTATATTTTTGAGATTAATCTTTTGTTGCTTCATTTGCTATTATTTTCTCCCATTCTGAAGGCTGTCTTTTCACTTTGCTTATAGTTTCCTTTGTTGTGCAAAAGCTTTTAAGTTTCATTAGGTCCCATTTGTTTATTTTTGCTTTTATTTCCAATATTCTATGAGGTGGGTGACTTAATGATTTTAAGAGAAAATAAAAAGCTAATATATTGTCTAGACTCTTGAGCAACGTGGCTTTGAGCTGTGTGCCACTCATTTGGGGACCTTTTCCAGTGCATATGCTACTGGACTTACAGTCTGGGGCTGGCTGAGTCCTGGAATGTGGAGCTCTCCAATAGGAGAGCCAGCTGTGGCACTGGGGGATATGTGGATTGTGGTATTGGCTGCAGGTCTGGGAACCCATCCCCTGCAAGTACTGAGGGATGATTGTATATATCTCATTTAAAAAAAAGAAAAAAAAAATCCCTCATTTTGAAATAAGTTTGGACTGACAGAAAAGTGAGAAAATTAAGTTTGTGTATGCCTTTTACATCTTACGTGGTTATGGTATAATTCATTGGGAAGTGAGCCTTAGTGCAATACTATTAACTAAATGACAGAGGTTGTTTGGATTTTGCCAGGTTTCCCACTTACATCCTTCTTATGTTCCAGGATCCAGTCTAAGATCTCACCTTACATTTATTTGGAATGTCTCTTTAACCTCCTCCAATCTATGCCAGTTTCTCAATTTTTTTCTCACTTTTTGTGACCTTGACACTTCTGAAAGAGAATTAAGTCATTTTGTAGAATGTCCATCACCTTAGGTTTGTCTGGTAGTTTCTCATGGTTAGTTTAAGGTAATGAATGCATTTCTGGCAAGAGGAGCATACAAGTGATATTGTATCCTTCTCAGTGCATCCCGTAAGGGGCTTCATGATGTTAACACACCAACCCTTATCTGCCAGATTTCTCCTCTGAGTTATTTTTCTCAGTGTAACCAATAAATCTCCTGTGTTTCCTCAACCTTTTGCATACTAATTTTAGTATCTGTTGGTGGATCTCGTCTGCAACAGTTGTTACTGTGATAGTTGCATAGTGGTGGTTTTCTGTTTTCTTTCCTTCCACATTTAATCATTTAGATTCTTCTGATCCCCCGGAGAAGAAAATGGCACCCCACTCCAGTATTCGTGCCTGGAGAATCCCATGGACGGGGGAGCCTGGTGGGCTGCAGTCCAGGAGTGTGTGGGGTCACAGAGTCGGACACAACCGGGCGGCTAAGCTTGCACACATTCTCCTCTAAGGAAGCGCTGGCCTTTGGCCACCGTTTTACCTGTTTGCATCAGTATGAACTAACGGATATTTACTCTGCAGGTTATAGTTCAGTGCTGTTATCATGGTGTTGCTTGTGTTGTCCCAGCTTTGGCCACAGGACCTCATCAGGCTGGCGCCCGTGTCTTTCAGACACGCCCCCCTTGCTTTCTGAGCATGTCCTTATTTTCTGGCACCACAAGAGGTTCTAGTCTTGTATTGTCCTTTTCCCAGCCGCGGAAGCAACCACTTTTGCGAGGAATCCTGACGCTTTTCGTTAGGAGACTCGTGTTTAGAACCGGACCAAAGACCTGGGCAGTAGGTGTGCTCATTCCACCACAAAGTACCAGTGCTTCTAGGTCCTCTCCGCAGACAGTTAGGAAATATGTAGGTGTGCAGACTGGCGCGCACACATCTCTATTTCTGCTGTATGTGTGTTAGATGGGAACAGAGTTTGAGTGCTGTGTGGCAGGCAGTGGCCCGGTGCCTTATTTGTGTTATCATGCTTGTGCTCTGCTCAGTCGTGTCCCACTCTTTGCGACCCCATGGACTGTAGCCCTCCAGGCTCCTCTCCAGGGGCGTGAACAGAGACAGGAATACTGGAGTGGCTTGCCATTTCCTTCTCCAGGAGACCTACCCAGCCCAGGAATCAAACCTGAGTCTCCTGCCTTGGCAGGTGGATTCTTTATCACTAGCACCACCTTTAGTCCTTGTGATATAAAGGACCTACTAGTATTCCCACCTTTATAAGTGAGAATGCAGAGAGGTTGTTTCTTTAAACCTCATGGGCAGTGAAGTCCATTATTCCAAAACACTGCTTTTAACTGCTAGTCTGTGTCACATAGCAACTTGCTTTTTTGCATGTGTAATTGGCTGGTCCTAGGTTCAATGCAGATGTTAGGAGTAGGGAGGATTGGAAAGTTAACTCCTTTCATAGCTTTCTTTCCTTCAATAAGTAAATGATCATATGTCATTAATTTTGTTTTTGATAACATTGTTTAGAGAGCAAAATCAGTCTTAAAACAGGTAAAAAAAAACACTCCAAATCTGCTTTTAGAATCACTTCTCTGGGTTCATTAGTAATTTTTGTATAATTTAGCCTAGACTTATCTAATACCTTCTGATGGTGCATTTGAAAATTAAGGAAATCACTTTAAAGGTAATTTCCTGAAACATTAAAAAAAATTCAAAGTTTGATTTATCCTGTGTGTGTGTGTTAGTTGCTCGGTCGTGTCCGACTCTGTGCGACCCCATGGACTGTAGCCCACCAGGCTCCTCTGTCCCTGGGATTCTCCAGGCAAGAACACTGGAGTGGGCTGCCATTATCCTGCTGCTGCTGAGTCACGTCAGTCGTGTCCGACTCTGTGCGACCCCGTAGACGGCAGCCCACCAGGCTCCTCTGTCCCTGGGATTCTCCAGGCAAGAACACTGGAGTGGGTCTCCAGTATCCTAGGTGATATTAAATATCCAGCATATTTTAATATTTTTGTCTATTAGCATTTAAAAAAAATCTTATAACAGTACTCTTCTATGTGAAGTAACAGCCTTAATGTGTTTACACAAGAACGTTAAGCTTTGTTATGCCCACCTAATTTTGGTTTCTCATTTGGGACTACTAAAAAGGGAACATTAAGGAACCAATCACTTGCATCTGAAATTTATTTTTCTTAATGTGGTTTATTTTATATGCCTGTGTTACTCATACATATTTGTATTAATTATATATGCTGTTGATTTTACCCACTTCAGAAATCTTAATCGGTTTCAGTTTAGTATGGCTTGCATGCAGTAGACACTAGGACCACTTTTCATACTTGTCTAGATGCTATAGGCCCCGAAAATAGAATCATTATCTTCAGTAAGACATTTAATAAGGAAATCTCTAGAGGAAATCTCTCATTTAAGTTAGATACATCAATGATTTCTATGTATGAAATCATACATAGATGATGCCTATGCCAGTGGTCTCTTTTGTTATTGTGAAATAATGGGATTTTGTAAAAAAATATTATTGCTTAATAGCTTATAACTAATCAAATGTAGAACTAAAATGGGCTTCCCTGGTAGCTCAGCTGGTAAAGAATCCACCTGCAATGTAGGAGACTGCGTTTTGATTCCTGTGTTGGCAAGATCCCCTGGAGAAGGGCATTAACAACCCACTCCAGGATTCTTGCCTGGAGAATCCCATGGGCTGAGGAGCCTTTTGGGCTACAGTCCATGGGGTCACAAAGAGTTGGACATCACTAAGCATCTAAGCATTGCACAGACCTAAAATATTTTCATTTAACTCTGTAATTGATAAGAATGAGGTATAAAATAGTTTATGTATAATGTACACAGAGGTTATTGAAAACAGAATACAGAGAAATTCAGAATTCTCAGTTACCAATGGTGGATATTTTTACTATTTGAGGAAAGTGGGTATTTTTTACTATTTGAGGAAAGAAGAGAGATTATGTCAGTATATACTTGAAATGGCTGCTTTTGTGTAAATCTAGGAATATAATTACTCCATAGTAACACTGCAGAGAGGCTTGTTCAAAGTAGTAAGTGCTTGTTTGTTGACTCTTTCAAACCCTTTTTATTTTGA